GACACGACAGGCTCGCAGCGCGGTGCGCGGTGGACTCCCACATCCACTGGCGGTCTCATCTCAGTCTAGCGGCGATCGCGTCCTTCCCGGGGGTGGCGGATCCAAAGGTGGCGGTGTCGTTCGAGGCGATCGTGGCGGCGGTGGCGGCGTGGGCGGCGGATTAGGCTCGTCCTAGACAGCGTTTGTTTTGCGTGATGTGTGCCGCCGCCAGCGCGGGGCGATGAAGTTTCGACTGGAGAGCCACATGCCTGTTACGAGACCACGCGGCGCAAAATGTAATCTTGATTCTTGTTTACAGGCGGACAGCTGTGCGAGAATAGGCTAGTCGCGCCGACCACACCCACAAAGAACCCCGCACAAAGACCGCAGGGCGGGGACTTGCTCCTTTTTACCCATCTCCCAGAGTAGCTCGAGGTGTCCGTGTGATTTATTTATTTATTGCAGACTCAGTACGTAAGGTAAGGAAGCTTCTCCCTTATGCGGCGTCTGAGACGGGCACTTATGAACCTTCATCAAGAGCGCGCAACCGGACGGACGGCGCCAACGCAGCGGCGCGCCGGGACAGAGGTCGAGAAAGGCAATTGAGGTGGGAATCCTCTCCCATCCACACGTACACGCGAGCCGCCAAGAAGCACTTCCTGGTCAGGCCGTTGCGGGTCGCCGCTTCCGGAAGACGAACTTCGGCATCGGCTGCGGCTGGACGGTGGTGCCTTGGTGGTACGGGATATCGAGCAGGCTCGTGATCGGCGCGTCCTCGAGCTCAAACTCCCAGTCCTGCACCAGCTGCGCCACCATCGTCAGCAGCTCGAAGTTCGCAATCTTGTTGCCGGGGCACATCCGGGCGCCCGCCGAGAAGGGCGCGCGCAACAGCGGGTGGTCGATGACTTCCGCCGCCGTCCCCTTCCTCGCCACAACCGCGTCGGGGAGCCACCGCTCCGGGCGGAACTCGTGCGCGTCCGGCACCAGCGCCGGGTCATTCTGCGGCGAGAAGCTGTCGAGCATGACGAGGCTCCCGGCGGGCACGGTGTAGCCGCACATGTCGACCTCGGCGGCGGTCCGCTTCATGAGGCTCACGGGGATCGAAGGTCGCATCCGGTGCACCTCCCGCACCACCGACCGAAGGTACGGCAGCCACTGGCCGCGGCCACTCTGCGTGACCTCTGGCGTCAGACTGCCTCCGACGCCAAGCTCGCGCTGC